TAGTACTTGTTTGATGATCTTCAACAACTTTGATCTCCATATCTTGAAGAGCTTTTTCCCTTTGGTCTCTTTGTTTTTTTTTTCTGTTTTTAGGAAATGATTTGATGTAAGGAATAATGATGTAAGGAATATATATATATAGATGTGAGAGAAACACCTTGCAAGTAACCTTTGAGACCAAACCAAAATCTTTGTTTAAGTGAAAGCATGTTTTTTTGTTTTTGTTTTGGTTGTAAAATAGTGGTAATCCGGTTTTACCACCCGACTAATCCCTCCAGAGTGAGTGTAGCCGTCGAGTAGCCCACTTACTAGATTTTCTAATGGACATAAAACGTGATACCACTTCGACTGGCCAAATGAGAATAGTTAGATAATTCCACGTTTGAGGAAAAGTGAAAGCATGTTCGTACACATTTTTCTTTATGTAAAGAGAGGATCATAATTATTTTTTTTTTATTTTGCTTTACTATAATCTTTAATGATTTTGATACGTTTATTACATATATTTTTGAGGTTTCTATGTAGTTTCGTGACATGTTTGAGTCTGAATAATACTTTCCTCTTTTCCATGTCGTTACTAATTCTTTTACTTTTTGTTAATTATGTTCGATTAATTTGTTTTTTATATAATTTAATATTAATATCGTAAAATCCTCTTGGAATTCTTATTTAGACCGTGTCAAATGTCAATGAAGAATTATAATAGTCCGTTTAAGAAAATAACTTTAATCGTGATCTCATATTTGCTTGTGTTGAGAATCTTTTTATTTATTTATTATCTCGTAAGTTTTTATATAAGACTGATTCATCGTGGAGGTCAAGTAAGGTCTAATAAATTTGATTGGTAATTATTCTGTAAAATATGAGTAACGTAAAGTTCTTAGTCATTAGTCAACCATGAATTTTCGTTTCTTTTACCTTTATGGTTCTTTTAAAAAACCTTATTATGATATGCCTAATAATGTTTAACTGACATCAGTTTACAAAATCATACAAGAACAAACTCATACAAAACAAAAACATGACGATTATGAATCGTCCAGAAAAACAGGTGAGTTTACAGCTGTTTTGTTTATCAAGAACAAACTGAATTACCTCTAATTTTTTCTTTAATGTTTTTCTTTTAGAAAAACAATTTTATTTATATTATTATCACAAAGGACCATTTACTTTTACTTTCACATTATTTTCGAAATTCATAAAAATTCACGAAAATATAGCGATTTAGATTTTGGATAAATCTGGCTTTTTAGCGAATTGTTAAGAAACCCACATTCAATATAAAATAAAACTTAAA